TGGAAGGGAGACAACTCCATTCTTTTTTTTTATTCGGAAAATTTCTTCATCAGTCTGAAGTTATAAACTCACATTGAAAAGAAGTAACTGGAATTCTTATTTGAACTGATGTTCACTAAAATCACACAATTTACACAACAAATACATAATCTGTTTGTTAAAATGACCACTCTGCAGAATTTTTGTAGAGCTTTTTTGGCATGTTTGTTGGGCACTAATTGACTCAATGTAAATACCAAGACCACAGGGATCCTNACGATAGATTTTTGTTTAAACGTTGATGTCATAACCTTCACCAAATGCTCAATATAACACAAACAAACACATCCTGAACATTTGATGTGGAAGTCACACTTTCTGGACCATGATTGAATTTTGTACTTTAATTTATTTCTTCTTGTATGAATAATTTGTTCCTATAGATATTGTGTATGTATGCGTGTTTCTGGGTTTTGCTTAAATTATTGCTTTTTATTTTACTTTGCTTTTCTGTTCTCCACCCTGTCTGGTATTAGGTAGAGGCTGAAGCCACACTACGAGCTATCACTACTNCAGCCACACTACGAGCTATCACGACAGCCCACCAGCCACACTACGAGCTATCACGACACCAGGCTAATTGTCCACTCTATGTTGTTCGTGTCATGAGCAAATCTGCAGGAAAGGTCGTGACTGCAGCCAGGAGAAGAAGTTTGATACAATTTTATTTTGTGTGTTCTGACATAGTGGTCATTTCACCTCTACAAATGGATCCATTGTTCTCTGTGACTGAAATGTTAACAGTGGAAGGGAGACAACTCCATTCTTTTTTATTCGGAAAATTTCTTCATCAGTCTAAAGTTATAAACTCACATTGAAAAGAAGTAACTGGAATTCTTATTTGAATTGATGTTCACTAAAATCACACAATTTACACAAAAAATACATAATCTGTTTGGTAAAATGACCACTCTCCAGAATTTTTGTAGAGCTTTTTTGGCATGTTTGTTGGGCACTAATTGACTCAATGTAAATACCTTGACCAAAGGGATCCAGATATTTGCTTCATTTGACAAATATCTGGTTTTTATAAAGTCAGGAATTCATGTAAAACAACTCATCAGGAACTATACATGGAAAGAAACCATGTGAACAAAAGTATCAGACCTTAACTTAGTTACACACCCAAACTATGTGTCACCACAGGGTTTTAATTTTGCTGTCCCATAAAGGAATCTAAAACAAGAGACTCGCTGTCATCACAGTCGGACAAGGCCCTGACTGTTGTACAGGCTACACTATAGTGGACGTGGTTACAAATTGTAGGTGGAGGGTGAGGCTGTATACCGTGCCGTTACTATAGCCAGTCAGGCCAACTGTCCACTCTACGTATGTAAGATCATGAGCCGGACAGCTGCCAATGTCGTAGGAAAGGTGAGATTTTTCTTTACAGATCATTTCAACAATCAGACACAGGAAGTCGTCAATAAGATACTTATTCGTTACAGTTTGTGTACGCTCTCTATCGATAGACAAAACATCCTTGGTCTTGTGACATATACAATTTCATCCCATAGTTGTACAGCGAAACAATTTTGTATGGAGCATCCCTGGGCTATTGCCTCAATATTTTCTCTGGTATTACTAACTACACTATGAAAACTGTAAAAAGGGAACATTGTGTTGCTAGTCCTCTCAAAACCTTGTTATATTGCTCACAGAACTGTAAGCCATTGTCAAGTTACTGCATGTATAACTCTGATTACCATAGAAACATACCTTGGTATTTGTAAAAACCCTGCCCATTTGGATTATAATTCATCGTTTTGTATTCCTTTCCAAATTAAAGGTACATGTACCAGTTAACAGTGCGATTCGTTAACAGGACACCTCTTAGTCAGTAATCCTCACAAAACAAATAAAGAATTACAAAAATGTATTTCATAAAAACAGTGTAATTTTACAACCCTTTTATTGATGATCTTGCATGACCAAGATGCCAAAATATACAGGTGTTGACACAGTTATCTGTTAAAGGTAATGTTCGGTGAGCCGATTGCTGCTAGTCTTGGTACGGACGTAACCCACTACTGGAACAAGTGCTGGAGACACGGGGCTGGACATGTGATGGGACCACCTCTCAGACCAGACCCCTCCACTCCGGGCTACCTCATGGACCTCCTAGCTAAGTAAGTGGTTCTCGTTTAGGGATACCATCAAATAAATAACAATGACGATTTGATGAATTTACAGGCAAGTAACCAGATATTCTGAGTAACATATCTGGCCCATTAGACCATTGTTAACATTTAAAATGTTAGTAATGTATAATGTCAGGGTTGTTCGATATTGATGTGAACTTTATGAACTGTATACAAAATAGGTACATAAATTACACAAACATACTATTCATGTTTACCTTATGAACCTGCTTTTAAAGAAGGTATATCTTGATCAGTATGTTTAGGTCCATTTAAGTCATGGCCATGTACATCCATGGTGACCAAATAAATAGTTTGTCTAATGTTTAAGATCAATTGGTTCTGCTAACTAAAATATAATGTGGCTTCCTTTCAGTAATGACCTCCAAGTGACCGGAACAGATAACTGCACCTTTAACGCTGACCAGAAGGCATTGGGCAAGGATGATTTTAGAAAGATTCCTACGGTGTAAATGGTGTTGAGGACAGAATGTCTGACATCTGGGAGAAGGGAGTTGTGAGTGTCTTTTAAAACAGTTTAATTGAATTATTTTTGGAGGAGGTTTACTCTCTGTAAAATTAATAACCAGCATTGACTTGATTTTGTGCTTGTTATCAATTAAACTGTAATGACATTCTTGTCCATAAATTAGCTATTGGGCTTCATGCCACATAGGGCAAGTGAGCTTATGTCATGGTGCGCGTCCGTCGTCCATCGCCGTCTGTCAACTTTTCCTTTAAACGACTTCTTCTGAAGAACGGACAGGCCTAGAGTCATGATATTTGACTGAAAGCTTTGTTGGTAGGAGCCCGACAAAATTTGAGAATAAAAATGACCTTGACCTACTTTCAAGGTCACAGGGGTCAAATGTGTCAAACTCTTCAAACAACTTCTTCTGAAGAACTTAAAGTTATAGAATCTTAAAATTTGGCTGGTTGCTTCCTGGGATGGAGCCTGACAAAGTTTGAGAAGGAAAATGACTTTGACCTACTTTAAAGTTTACAGCGGTCAAATTTGTCAAACGCTTCAAACAACTTCTTCTGAAGAACTAAAAGGTATAAAATCTTCATATTTGGCTTGTGGCTTCAAGGGATAAAGCCCAACAAAGTTTGTGAATGAAAATTACCCTTGACTTACTTTTAAGGTCACAGGGGTCAAATGTGTCAAACTCTTTAAATGACTTCTTCTGAAGAACGAACAGGCATAGAGCCATGATATTTGACTGAAAGCTTCGTTGTTAGGAGTCCAACAAAGTTTGAGAAAGAAAATGAGACTGTGACCTACTTTCAAAGTCACAGGGGTCAAATGCCTCAAAAGACTTCTTCTGAAGAACTGAAAGGTACAGAATCTTCATATTTGGCTGGTGGCTTCCTGGGATAGAGCCTGACAAACTTTGAGAACGAAAATGACTTCAACGTTAACCTTCTTTCAAAGTCACAGAGGTCAAATATGTCAAAAACATCAAACGACTTCTTCTGAATAATCGCAAGGCATAAAATTATAATATTTGCCTGGTGGCTTCCTGGGATAGAGCTCACCAAAGTTTGAAAAAGAAAATATGTCAAACAACTTCTGAAGAAGAACCAAAAAGCATAGAATCTTATAATAATATTTTGCTGGTAGTTTCAACAGATGGAGCCGACAAAGTTTGCGAGGGTGTTAGTGCAATATAATATTTGATGAGAATATTTTGCTATGACTGCTTAAATATTCAGGTGAGTGATACAGGCCCTCTGGGCCTCTTGTTAATCTGCATCCTGTTTAATCATAACCTGATCTATGATTTACATGTATTCAAAATAAGATACTTTTTTGCCAGTCCAAATTTTAAACCAGTTAGCTAGCTATAGGTTTGGTCACTTTATTTATGTAATATATAGCTAGTCCTTACTAATTGCTGAAGTCTTCACCAACCCCAATATGTTATTCATAATTGAAATAGATCTGTAGTTCATGTTTGTGTATATGTGTGTTTTTATTTCCTTTCAGGAAACAGAAACTGAAAGTAACAGATAACCATGGAAAGTGTTTTTTTTGGATAGCCACAAACCCAAATATTAACAGCAGAGAACTAAAAGAGAAGTTTCAGGAGTCATTTGGTGCTTTGGTATCGGACACTTTAATGAGGAGAGTACAGAGGAAGCTTGGTTGGCAGACCCGAACAAACATCAAGAAGACCAGAATACAGCCTAAATGCTCTGGGAAAAAGAGAGGATTTTAAAAATGTTGTTTTTGTTGATGAATCCAGCGTGGAAATGAGAAGTAGTGGGAAGATGTATTTTTACAAAAATGGAAACTGTTTTGACCGGTTACCAACAAAAGCACCAAAACCTAAGCATGCCTACAAGGTAATGATAAAACCTCAGGTATACTGACTGGTGTAGCTCACCTTGTCTGATAGGGTTAAACGTTATAAAAGCAATCTGATACTAGTGTGCGCTTCTCAATCAATAAAATTTAATATGCACACTACAGTATAAACTTTTTATTTATGTAACTTATATAAATCTTCACTTTTTGATAGATGTCATTTCTACTTTGCTCAAGTGACCTATTCTTATCGCTTTCCGTCCGTCGTGCGTCGTGCGTAAACTTTTTACATTCTCAACTTCTTCTCAAGAACCAGTGGATGGATTTTTTTCAAACTTGGTCTGAATCATCCTTGGTAGATGAGGCTACAAAATTGTAAAATTGGGATTCCTATCCCAACCCCTGGGGCCAGGGTGGGGCCCCAAAGGGAAAATTAACCAATATTTCAAAAATCTTCTTCTCCAGACTCGGATATACCACATTTAATTTCAGGGCATAAAAAGAAAGATCCTCAGCGGCTTTATTTAAATTGTAAATTTCAGGACCCCCGAGCTATCCGTTCTCCTATGGGGAGGGGGTAAAGTTTACTACAGTTTATATAGGGTCATAACACTTTTGGGTATATTTTATCTATTTTCAGCAGAAAATTACTCAAACTTGGTCAGAATCATCTTTGGTGAATGAGGGTATACGTATTACATTGTAAAATAAGGATTCCTGCCCGATCCCCAGGGCGGTGCCCCAAAGGGAACATTTACCAATATTTTCAAATTCTTAACCTTTGATGACATGACAAGTACATGTATTGTATTTCACTAAGTTTACATGCTGATTTCCACACCACATCTAAACAATAAAATAAAGCTACCAGTACCTATGATATAACTCAGGTGACCGCTAAGGCCTTTGGGCCTCTTTTTAGACCATAGAGTCAAATCTCATTCTGGGAATCCATATACATAATAGTACTGCATGATCAAGAGTAATCTGATCATGAAATACAAGGTGTAGTTTAGGCAAAACTTTATATGTATAATATATATATATATATATGTTTCAAGTACCCCAACCGACCCTTAGCTTTGTCCTTTGACCCTAACAATTTCATCTCATTCAAACACACCCAATTTGGAGTTGGGATAACTTGTTCGCTGGATGCAAATTGATTGTCAAACAAACAAGTCAACTACAAATATAGTATCTTTACTTCATTGGCCGGTATCAAAATACAAAATTCAATCTCCTATTTAAAAGACCTAAGAATATGTTCATTGTTTTATGTAAGTATTCAATAAGCTCCAAAACACCCAGATAAAAAAAATTGAAATGAAATGAAAATCAAACCTCAGTGACCAATGTACCCTATTCTTTCAGTCATGTAACCTGAAACATCCTTTTGTTTTTTTGCCCGAGTGTATTATCTAAGACTGGTTCCCTATTTTTGTTTCCTTAAATAGAATTTCGTGATTATTTTGAGGGTATTTTAATAGTAAATAATATGAGTAGCATTCTTGCTGCTATGGTGATTAATTAGAAAATACATGCTTAATTCACCACTAAATCCTCATTGAAATAATAAAAAAACAAATAACTAAAATGATTGTAGTTCAGACGCAAGGTTTTCATGGAACATTTTTGTGCTATAGAATAACAGAGTTGTGATGCTCTTACAAAAATTGCAAAGCTGTTTGTTTGATTTTATAGTTGGATGCTTTTTATTAATGGAAAATTAAGGATCTTCTTATTTTACTGGTATATATCTTAGAATAAAAAACTCCAGATCACTTTTTGCACATTGCAAATTGTACACATATATAGTTCTGATCCTAGAAAATGTTTGTTTTTTTAGTTATCAAAGTCTTGGTGTGTTTACCTCTTGTGATTGCCTTTTGTCCATCATGATCACCACATCAATTAAATTTTGAAGGAAAGTTCTATGTTCAAATGCAGGCCAAAGTAAAGAATTACATAGGGATCATTCATTCCAATAACAAATATAAGAAAAAGGAATTTCTATGCATTTCAGTGTTTATTATTCTGTCAAGAATTTGGTCAGGATCCCATGACCATAACAGGAAGAAAGTAACTGTGACCTTTGCCTGACTATTAAGATGATCCTTATGGATACAAAGTAGGTGACAGGAAAATTTAAGACAGGTCATCCGAAGCATTTGTAACCTTGTTTTTGGCCTTACTGTAGTTTATATCGGGAAATAACTCTTTTGAGTATATGTTGTTTACTTTCAGTAGGAAAAATTTCAAACTCGGTTGTAATGATTATCATGTGACTGCATTTTGATGGTATGAAAATTAAGAACCTGGCCCACCCCTAGGGCACCAAAGAGGGCAAATTGGCTGAAATTTCAACAGTCTTCTTCAGATCAAGATTTGCTAGAATCAAACACTCTTCATGGATGGAAAGGTCCTAAGTCGCTTTATCTGAAATTGTTATTTCATTAGCCCCATGTCAATCATTCCTCCACTGGAAAGGGTAAATTTTATGATAAGATCTTATTTTAATTTTTTTCACTTTTTTCTGAAAATTGTCAGCAATATATATATATGTTCGACAATTATGTACAAGCAATATATATATGATACATGTTGGTCACTCCCAACATGAATTTCTCTCAAGGAATTCAAAAAGCTTTTTTTGAACTATATGAACTTTTTTTGTTTGCATCACTACAACAAATAACAACTCCGGTTCATGTATCTCTTGTATAACTTGGTGGGAACACATTTGTATATTTATCATTTCTATGTTAACGTTGGTGTAGTTGCAATGGTCCTGTTTATATCTATTGCAGTATCAGGCTTCTGAAGATACTGGTACAGTGTATAACCCTAATGGCACCATGCTTTAGGTTCAAAATATGTTCACAATATATGCTTTCCTTACATTAAAATGTAAATGATTAAATTGTTTTATCATTCGGTTATTCAAAAGGAATGGATATTACAGCCGTTACTTCTCTAATATTGGAATACATTGTATTGAGAAATTGAATGCTGGATCAGAGTTACAAATTGGGTACCATAATTACTTAATACTGCTTTGGAATCATCTAAGAGCTAATATTATTGCCTTTGCATGTCACCTACAGACCAGGTAAAGCTTGTAAATGAAGGATGCTGTAACATCATCTCGTCTGTCTGTCCTTGGAAATGATCATGCTCTTTGCAGGTCATAAAAAGATTAATATGCGTACTAATTATAATTGTGATTGCTCCCAGGGTCCTTTCACCCCAGCATGGTGACCTTATATCATTGAAGTGGTTGAAATCAGCGTCCTATAATGAAAAACACCTACTAGCAATCCGGAGGCACTGTAGTCTAGTGGTAGGACGCTTGGCTCGTGAAACAAAGGGTTACTGGTTCGAGTCACGGGACCACACTGTGTTGTATCTTCGAGCAAGATACTTTACTCCGCTTGTTCCAGACTACTCAGCTGTAAATGAGTACGTGGTTGGGCAGTGCTAAAATTGTAGAATACTAGCTGTGAGTGCCGGAATGGCAGCTGTGGCTGTATGCTCCCCAGGGAGTTAAGAAAGATATTGGCTGGTTGTAAAGGCTAAATAACCACGGATACAGGGTTCAACACTAACACTAGTCTGCTAGTCCTGGACTAGTAGCTTTCACCCAGGACTAGTGAATCACCTAATTGGTCCTTTGGACTTGTGAAAAATATAATTATTATATGCAAATACTCTTTTTTTTTAAATTTAGAAAACTGCATAAAATAACATATATTGCATGATTATTCTCAAAATTTTCCTCAAACTTTACCACATTTGTATGGCAGTAGTTATTTAAAGTCCTGTGGACTGTCCCCTACCTGTTTCCTGCTGTAGATCGCGATGTTTCCTTATCAGGAAATCTGGGACAAGTTACATTGACGAAGGACTAGTAGATAATCTTTTTAACTAGTCCTGTGGACTACCAAGCAAAAAAAAGTAAGTGTCGAACCCTGGGAAAATGATTTGTGAACCGCTTTGAGACGACCTAGGAACTAAGTTGTGATGAAGCGGTATATACATTTGTAAGAACCTCAAATTATTATTATTATTATAGGCAACTACCAAAGTTTTCCCCAGGTCTGTTACCACCCAGGAATACACTCATGCTAGCCCCTTCCAGGGGTCATACAGGGCTAGGATATACAATATAGTAATTAGTTCAGGGGTCATACAGGGCTAAGATATACAACATAGTAATAAGTGAACTATAGGTTACAGGTTGATTTTGAAAAAAAGATACAATTAAGGGAAATATGTAGCCAAAAAAATGGACATTGCTTATATTTTTTATTTTTTTTGCCTGCCACAGGCGCCCGGGATCTACACTATCATCACAAAGGTTACTGAACTATGTGCGCTCGCTTATATGCCTCATTAAGGTATTTGGTAATAAAAAAGTAAGTGTCTAACCCTGGGAAAATGATTTGTGAACCGCTTTGAGACAACCTAGGAACTAGGTTGTGATGAAGCGGTATATACATTTGTAAGAACCTCAAATGGCTTCGCTTTGTCTGACAACGGTTATTACGTATAATTATCGCACTTTGTCGAGTAAGGTGGTGATATAACCTCTCCGTGTTTATGGAGGCGGCCATGTTTTTTTTTTTTACGTACGCAGTCACATGGGTAAGTTTTGTAATATCTTGGTAACTTAACTAATTTTTCGCATGAGCTGACATTTATTGCATTGGTTGGTAGCCGGCAAACTTATTGTTTATGGAAAGATTCAAATTTAATGTTGAAACATATTACTAGCATAATGAACTTTAATTTGATGGTGCTCGCCAATAAACTTTTCCATTGCGATGGTGCTCACTGATGATTGTGCAAATTGCCCACCACTCTTGGCCCTGCCCCTCAGTCCCCTGGGGGGTCAGCCCAACCATTTGTACAATTTTGAATCTCTACTACCTATGGATGATTCAAGTCAAATATGGTTGATATCCATCTCTTAGTTCCAGAGAAGAGGTCGCTTAAAGCAATATAGCCAAATTGCCCCCTTTTGGCCCCGCCCCTCAGCCCCACCGTTTGTAGATGCTTCCAGTCAAATTTATTTGAATTCCAATCAGTGGTTAAGAAGAAGTCGTTTAAAGAAATTGCTGACGGACGCCATAGTATTGCATAAGGTCACCTTGGTCCTTCGGCCTGGGTGAGC